GGTAGCCCTTTCTCCCTCCCGCCCAACAGCCATCCTACCTTTATCTGTCTGTGTTCTGCTGCCCCACACAGCAGCCTCTGCCTAGGGAAACTGTGACTCAGTTGTGTGGTGCTGGCCACTGGGCCAGGCCCACCTGCATGGTAAGGAACACTCAAGGATTTGTGGAGTGGCACCTCACTTGCCCCTGTACCCCCCTCCCCATGCTATTTCCTTTTCCCCTCCTCCTGGGAACCTCCATATCCTCTCCCTTTTCCCTGCCCCATTCTCTTCTTATCAGCCATTTACCTACCTACCTTTTATCTGCCTCACATCTTCAGCTATATTTTTTAATTTACTTTATTTATACCCCACCTTCCTCCAAAGTGGGAACTAAAGCAGCTTACATTATTTTCTTCCTTTTTATCCGCACAACACTGAGGTAGGTTGGGCTGACATTATTTGACTGGTCCAAAATCACCCAATGAGCTTCCACAGCAAGATGGGGATTTGAACCTGGGTCTCCCAGACCCTACTCTGATGCTCTAACCGCTATGGCACACTGGCTTTCATAGGGTGGCTGCTGTTAAACAGCTAGCTTTTGGGTGGGACTCGGAGATCTCCCAGAATTACAACTGAACTCCAGATGACAGAGATCTGTCCCCCTGGAGAAAATGACTGCTCTGGAGGATGGACTCTGTGACATTATATTAGACTTCAGGTCTTTCCCCTCCCCAAACTCTGCCCTCCTCAGAATCTACCACAAAATCTCTAGTTATTTCCCAACCTAGAGCTGGCAACCCTAGTCAGGCCTGGCCCCAATGTGTCCTCCCTCAAAGGCCAAAAACAGGCCTGGAAAGAACCTTGCCCCCACCCACACTATTTTAGTTACAGAAACCCAGCCTGGAATACTATGGTTGTGTAGCAACAGCCACTGACAGAATCTGTTGCTTAAAGCTACAGGTTCTCCTTTTATCATTTTCGGTTTTTTTAACCCCTCAATGTATTATGATTTAAATTTCACATTATTTTGCAAGCCTAGGACCCTTTCCAAGACTGTAGGAAGATCTGTCTTGCCCTTTCACAGCTCCAGTCACCAAATTTAAGTATCCTCAGATCTGGCTGACTTTGCTATTAGTATATAGAATTAAGAGCCTGAAATGTTTAAATATTTGACTGTACTATACATTATACATTTCACTAAGTTACAAGGAGTTATTGTTCAGATCCTGACTGATTTCCCAGAAGCTGCTGCTCCATGCTCGCTCTTCCCTTTGCCCCGATGGTATGTGTCAATTTCACACTATGTGCTGTGCAGCCACATTTTGCCCTGCGGCTTCGTCCGATTTCCCCCGCATCTACTCAATCCTCAGGATTGAGTAGATGTGGGGGAAATCGGACGAAGCCGCAGGGCAAAATGTGGCTGCACAGCACATAGTGTGAAATTGACACATACCATCGGGGCAAAGGGAAGAGCGAGCGCGGAGCAGCGGCTTGTGGGAAATCGGTCCCTGTGACCTTTGTGAGTGTACCTTTTGTTTAGTGTAGTTAAAGTGTGTTCCTGCTGTGCTTTATTAGCCTTTGTTGACCTGGGCATTCAGTTTCAAAGGCAAGACAGTGTAGTGATGGCACAGTACAAGATGGAGTCCAAGGGGCTTGCCTCAGTGAAGTGGTGGCCGTAGGCTTTTGCTGCCTCTGCTGTTATACTAGATTTCTCTGTGTAATCCTGAAACAGTAGCAGCCTGGTAGCAAGTCCCACATACCTTCCTGTGAGGCGCTTCTTCCCCATCACTAAAGGGGCTGCAGGCCAGTCCTGGCTGTCTCAAAATTTAGAAGTGGGATGCAGAGCAGCAATTAGGTCTAGGGGCTTGATGCAGACAGCTGTTAGCAACAGAGGTAGGACTATAGTTCCAGTTCAAACCACTAAAAGCTAGCCTGGGCTACAGGAGGAACACAGCTACCTACCAAAAAGGTAATGGAGACAGAGGGAAATATTTGTATACAAATAAAATGAAGTAGGATTATCACATAGCAGCAGCTACAGAGTTAGTTGTAGGCAAAACACTGATTCAGAATTCTGAAATATTCTATGTTACTAGTACTTTACATATAAAGCTACATCCTAAACAGCAATTAACTGTGTATTTGGCATTCTAATTTTTTCTGTGGGTTTTTTTTCCCTTGTGAAGAAGCATTCCACTGCTGATTGTCAGTTTCAAATTGGCATGACAAGCCAGTAGTGGGTTCTTCCCTCTGGTAACCCTTTCCAAATTAATTGGGCTACTGAGCAACCTCTGCACATTACAGAGGAATCCATTCACACAGGACTGCTATGCAGTCATCCTGTGCCTCGCAGTTGCCCGATGTGTTCCCCTCACAACACACTCAACATTCTCTGGAGCTGCCCTGCAGTAGCAGCATGCAAGCAGCCCCTCAGGATAAATTTCGGAGACCCCACCCCCACCCCAGGTTCCTGGATGCATGGCTTGAAAACCACCATAGCTGAAAGGCAGACATGTACAAAACAGAGCCTCTCAGAATTGGCTTCTTTGTGGGCTTCGTGCATGTGCCCATTGTGAAATGGAAGCATGCACACTCAGCAATTTGTACCTTGGGAAGGCAGTGGGATGTGTTATAAAATGGATAATATACAATATAGTTTTATACAACCACCTGTGAGCCTGTAATGTGTCCTCTTATTAATGAATATCTTATGTGACTGGTTTCTATTCTTTACTATAGTGCAGCATTAAAGTCGATCGTTTTGCCTATTCTGGGTAGAAATTGCTCAGTTGTCCCTATCCTTGCTACAACAAGGTTTTTTAAAAAAAAATGGATTAGAGTTCTTCTTTAAGTATGCTCGGAAGGCATGTGACAATGGGGAATTACCCTTGTGTGGAAGCAACCCTAGTACGTACCTAGGACAGAGACTTCCCAGGAAACCTATGCAAACCATCTTAAGTTCCATAAAGGAAGAAATAAGAGATATAAATATAGAATTTATAAAATGAGGAAGAGGGTGTTTACAACGTCCGGCTTCAAATGAGTCAATCACACAAGAGCTTTTTAGGTATTAGCATTAAACTCAGTAGAACAAAGTTCGAGTCTAGTGGTACCTTTAAGACCAGCAAAAGGTGCCACTGGACTCAAACTTTGTTCTACTGCTTCAGACCAACACGGCTAACCACATGAATTCATCATTAAGCTCAAAGTTTGTTTTCCTGCACCAAACCTTTTAAAAAAAACATAAACCCTTATTACAGAGAAGCAATTGTAGTGTAAGATAAATTTATTTGCAAAAAGATGGTCAAGTACAGTATCTAGGCAGAATCAACCCATGCTTTTCCATTGCATATAAAAATTTCATATGAAGGTATTGACGTACAGTACTATCCCATAGGCTGAAAGAGAGGCTAAGAAACCATTGAATTATTTGCAATGTTCACACAATTTGCCACTCTAAAGACATACCCAAAGGAAACAAAACCAAACTGAAAACAACAACAAAAATATTGTTCAGTAATCCTGTTGTTATAGTGTCCCTTTTATACTGTTTAAAACAAAAGCAATAATATTCCTTTGGGCCAGGGCTGCTATAATCTACAGTTTGTGTCGAACGAAGGAGGCTCTGGTTTTCCTTGAAAAAGAATCTCTCCTTTCACTGAACAAGTCACATGGTTACAAGGGCTGGGCGGGAATGGAATGGTAGCGAGGTATCTGTCACCACAAAGTCACGTGATTGAGAACAGCTGCAAGACGCTACTTAGGATACTGGAAGAAAAAGAACGATAGTGTTCCAAGATCTAAAGGGCTACAGTCATTCTCTACACCTATGCTACACACATACACACACACACACACACACACACACCCATCCATAGAAACAGTTGTACAGAAGCAAGCTTTTAGCTGCTTGAACCACTAATTAGTGTTGGAGAGGGAAAAGGTTTGACAGAGATATTTCCCATAGAGAATAAAGGAACTCTAACAGGGATAATTCCAGTATTAAGGATAACGGACACAAAACATTTCCAGCACTGAAATAAAAGTGAATTCACCTGCTGGAGCACAAGTTCCCCCTTGATTAATTATACTCACTTTTGTTGGATTAAATGGTGACTGTGTGTCTCTTAAAAAAGGAGGAGGATGGACAGCGATCCCTCCAAAGACATTTTGAAATGGGAAAGTACCCCCCTCCATCAGGCAGGGGGCGCTGATGCCCAAGTATGTACACATTTGAACTTCCGAAGGAAGCTTTGGTAAAAGCCCACTGGAAGGGGGGGGGAGAGGGGTGCCCTAGATTGGGGCCATAGCCCACCTAAATCCCACAAAAGAGCCAAGAAGGATGGTGGAGATCTGCCCAGCCCGTGTTCCATAATGACCTCTCTTTCAAATGCAGCAAAACAGAAGAAAATGTCATTTAAAGTTAAGGCACAGCCCTGGGACCAAAGACCTGCAGCTTTTAATTTATATATCTATTTTTTAATTATTTTTTCTCAACTCTTCCATAAACAAGCTCTAAGGTGACAGAGGATATATTACAGGGTGGGGGTTGGAGAATGTACAAGGGGATTAATGTATACACAATATTAATTCTCTCACCAAGAGTTTCCAAATATAGCAACACCACCCGAGCAAGGATGATGTTATAATAAGAACTTATAATTTACAATTAACATTACAGTATATACATTACAATAAATACATGGTTGTAAACAGAGACAAACAAGACTTATTACAAGTAAGGTCATTTGGTGAGAAAAATATGCATGGCACAAATAAAAAAAATAAATAAATGCATTTTAAAAGAAATGTCAAAAGCTTTCTGTAAAGTTCATTTCATTCAAGTTTTTTTTTTTTAAAAAAACCTTTTGAATGTGATTTGTTCTACCTATATTGTCTGATCACAATTTTTTTTTAAAAAATGACAAAACCAGAAATTAAAAGGAAACAAACACAGCATAACTGAGTACAGTAACTTGCAAGCTAAAGTGTACTGTCAGACACAAATTCAGATCCCACCCTTTCCTCTCCCCATCCCATACAGTACCCAACTCACTGCATTTTTTCTTATGGCAAAAAAACAAACATAGAAAACACGTAAAGTCACTTTTTGACAGTATTGTTGTTTTAAAGCAGTGTGCAATGCTAAAGCACACTTTGGCAAAATAAAAACGAAAGATTGTACAGTGCATTCGATCCCTGGCTCTAAAACTTATTGTGTTTTCTACCACTTGATTGTCCATGTGTATGGGCGTATTTTACACAATACGGTTGTATTTTCTTTACATCTCCATTTGCTGTTATGAAAGTTTAACCTTATGATATGGTAAGCACACTTAACCAGATCCACCAATCATTAAAATTTAAGCATATGGAAAATCCCATTATATCAAAGGGATCCCCATGCTTACGTTAGTGCATGGGACCAGAGCTCCATATGCTCTTGTTGGCTCAAGCGAAAGTGCTCCCCACTTCATAGGATTAAGCCTTTAGTGCAGATAAAATACCCTTCCAGATCCATATTGTTTTTTTAGAATTGATATTGCTTTTTTCATTAAGATTCCAGGCACTCTTGGGGACTGAACAATGTTAAAATAGCAAAGGGAGGAGGACATGAGTCTATGTGGACAGCGACACAGTGAAATTCTTTGATTCACTTCCCTAGCTAGTCTCCCCCCCCCCATAAAAGTCATTAAATGGTAGAGCAGACACATTAAAATGCATGTTTAAAAACAATCCCAAATGATCAGTCAGTTCTTTCATTAAAACCCCGATAACTTAGCAAGGCCATAAGATTCCCTGATTCAGCAAAACTAAATTCTATTCCTGCTCTGTCGTGTCAAAACATCCATGTGGCCTCACCATTTAACCCCAGTGTGATAGTGCTGGTTCAAACTATCAGCACTTGTATATGCAGAAGAGCTGTTCTGTATGTACGTCGGTCACTGCTCTGTGTGTACATGGGCAAGGAAATGCTCCACGTTGACAAAGTTGCAGGTCCAATGGGATGTATGACACATGGTCATGTGCATGGCAGTGCAAGCTGTACATTGTAACCAGGTCACAGTTGGGTGAGGATACTCCATGTCTCTCAGCACATATATGGACCAGCATCTGAGGCCGTACCAGAAAGCAGCTCCACCTCTAGTAGTCGTTGCACAATAAAGCAACAACCCAATGCAGAGTTAAGTGCACTCAAACCTAATGACACCAATGGTTTTACCTGCAGTTAACTCTGTGTCAGTTTGGGGCTTGTGCCTTATTTGGCATATATTTCTCTGGATCTGTCAGTTTTGTTGGACAATGCACTTTTCTCCCTCAGTATATCTGTTGATTGTTCCTAGACATACGACAATAATTAACCCTATATTTTTCTTTCCAAAAATCACTTATGGGATCTTTCCCATAACACTATGGTTGATATTAGTAAAATAAAATTAAAAAAAAAACTAAAGATATTGGGGCAATCAAGGTCAAAAGCTATGAAGCTGGACTTTAAAGACCTCACCTGAATATTTAAGGGGACAAAATGAGGGTCAGGGACTGCCGGAAAGCAGCCTGAGACAGACACATCAGTACCTCCACATACCCCTGTCGTAATTGTTTGTATAAGTATAGCCTGTAATGTTGTGTTGTCACAGCACTCAGAACACCCCCATATAAGAATTTATTTAGTAGCACAACAAGAGTATTAATGATGTCTCATGCACAGCTAGTTATGGCCAAATGGGAATAATTTCATTAGCAACAGATTAGCGTTTTTAGCAAGACAGACTCACATTCATACTGGCCACAGTCTTGCAAATCCTGATTCGCATTCATAGAGTTCCCCAAATCTTCATTATGAAGAGCTTGAGAAAGAAGTTTAGTCTTTGGAAGCTGCTTCAAGATCCCATCTACTGCTGCTACGGTCATCACCTTCCAGAATGTGGACTCTATTGCACCTACTGTAAGGAACCGAGTGCTGAATCCCCAAGGGCTCCAGCCAGCCAGCCACCCACCCACCCGGGGGTCGCAACCCAAAGTTGGGGGAGCTGCTGTCGTAGTGGTCGGCTAGATTTTGGAAAGCATATTTTTGGTTGAGCAGAGAAAGCCCACAGCAGTAAAGGCAGGGCCTACAGGTCTAAGCCACCACTGGTGGAGAAAGAACTCATTGCAGATTTTGTATTGCTGCTCTTGGAAAATTACAATTAAAAAAGCGAAAAAATAATGCCAACAAAATGAAAGGGATGTTCTGCAATTCAGATGGGGGGAGGGGAATAAAACGAAAACAAATTATTTATAGATGGATGTTGTCATTGGTCTAGACAGCAATGGGTTATTCTAGAAGAGGTGAAAGAACTGCTATGAAAAATCTAAGTGCAAACAAATATAGAACTTGATTAATCCAGTGTAGCACGTATTTGTACTGAAAACTTGCAAGTTACTCTTTGGGGAGGGAAAAAAGAATCAGTGGCAGATGAAGTTCTGAGGGTGCGGCATTCTTTTTAAATATAATACCTCAATACATTTAATAATAAAAGTAAACTCTACAAAAAGATTTCCATTTTACATATTATACAAAACGCAGGCGTCAGTGCAACCCACTGAGCTACACTTTTTTTTTCAGTCATGTGTCAGGAAGACTTGAAATTAGAAAAGTATGCCATTTCCACAGCTTTATCTTCCTACTGGTAATAACAGATTCATGTTGTGTCCCATTATCCGAGTGCATTTATTTTCCACTAGAAACCTTGATTCACTCGCTGGCTGCTTTCTTTAAATTCTGGTGATGATTGCTACTAATTGCCTCTCTCATGAAATTAAAAGCAAACCCAAAAAGAAAACCAAACACTAGCTTCGGGCCAGCCTTTACTCTTCTTGAAAACAGCTTGGAGTAGACACTCTCTCTAATTGTATCTGCCAAGTGGAACTCTCATTAAAACTGTTCTTTGCAGGTGTTCTCCTTTGCTCTCTGATGCCATGGAGATGAACAATTCTGGTTACAATATTCCTGAGTGCCAAACTGAGTAATCAAGGTCAGTTTTTGATCAACAAACATCTCTGGCAGATGACAGTGAGGCGTGACCATGGTTGTGCCGTGTGACATGCACTTTGGAAACCATTTTCTATTTTTTAAAAAGAGAAGAGAGGAGGACAGACAAAGAGAGCTACGAAGCTGCCGCACTGTTACGTATCAGGAGAGCGTTCTTCTTCTAGCACACAAGGTTCTGTCTGACTCTCCTCCTCCTCTCCTACTTCCTCCCCGACTTGTTCGTCCAGTGGAATTTCTGTGGATTCTGAGTCCTGGGTGCAAAGCGTTTTGGAGTCACTACAGCTGGTATCTTCTTCCACTTGACTGCCACTGTCTTTTTCTGTGTCCGATTCACCATCTTCCTCCAGTGTTAGTTCAAACTGGAATTTGTCTGTTTGGCCCTGCCTACCCTCCTCTTGGTCATCTGGGGCAGGAGAAGGACTCTGAGGGATTGTGCTCTGGTACCATTCGCGATTGTCCTCCAAGGTGTCTAAGATGTCCTGGGCATCTGGATGTACAAGGTCTGCCCAGGTCTCCCAGAGAGGATGAACAATGTAGTCTATAAACCCCACCTGTTGGAATGCAAAATAAGGAAATACTATTATCCCAAATACTGAAGGGCTTAGCATTATCAGTTTATCTAAGGAAATTAACTGATTGGAAAACAAACTTAATAGAACCATCATCTAACCATCCTCTCTACTAAACTCTATGCAACAGAATGTCATTGCAATGGAAACCACCAATTCCCACAAACAAGCTTATTTCTCAAATTCTTCTTAGTAACTTTCTGTAAACCATTAGTGTTATTTATTTATTGGATTTCTACCCCGCCCTCCCACCGAGGCGGCTCATGGGAGCATAACATGGAGCTAAAATTTCATCTATGAGCCACGTTCCATACCATTATTCTGTGCCTTGAGTGTCAAGTATAAAGGCAGGCTATAAAGGAATCAAATAAATAAACAAAATTATCTCATTCCTCTATATAGCAAATAGATTACCTGTGATTTTTCTACCGATGCATTGTGCTTATCACACATGGGGCTTATCTCCATGCCCCTCTCTCTTTCTCGATCTCCCTGACGAAAGAACTCTTCCATTATTCTATCTGTCCATTGGCGATACAGCTGGAGTGGCTTTGTTGGATTGCTTAGATCTGCACAGTGTACCATATTTTGTAGCACCTAAAAGAGACAATATATATATTTATTTATATACATATATTTCTCTCTAGAGAGCCATTGGTGTTATTCCACTGGAGATAAAGCCCCCTTTTTTCCATTTGCACATTTGGCAAGTGTGAAAACAGAATCTCGAAAATACATGTAGCGCAAGGTTTATTCTGAACAGCACAGGGATGATGTGTGGTGTTGTTTTTCACACTGACATTAATAGCCTCCCCATTATCTCACATCTTTAGCTCCTGCCTTTATTAAAAGGTCAAAAATGTTGTAAGTGCAAGACTGATCAGTTTCAAAGAAATGTGGAAGTTAGGCCCTAGCAAAATTAATCAAGGTTAACACCAACTTGGCTGAGCTCAAGTTTAGGGGGGAAAAATCCAGTGACTGGCAGATTGTTTATGGAAGACACAGTGACTGTACTTAAGTGCTTCTCAGAAGAGATAGTGTATAGTCTATACACACATGTGCTGGAAGTTATAGGACAAGAAGAATGGATGGCATCTTACCTGGATCCTGTCTGAATAGTTATCAAGAAGCAGAACTCCAGAGCTAGTTACTTTCTTCGTTTCAACCATCGTTTTCAGGTCAGCTAACAGGTTCATATGTTTAGACATATCTGTTGCCAGCACCTTGGAGGAGGAAAGCAATGGGAGGGGGGGTCACTAAATGTCAAACATGGGAGGGTGTGGAGTTAAAATCTGATGCAGACAGAAGCAGTAGACATGCTAAAATATCTAGAATCTACAGAGATGCCCACTGTACAAAGTGTTGTGAGGACAGAAGATCTTTGAGAGTGCCACACAGCCTAAAAACACATACTTTATAATGGCCAACCCAAGTTGTCCAGACTGCATCCACTCCCAACTCAAGATGCAAAGAGATTGCATGTCCTTACAAACCACTCCAAGATCCACCTGTCAGAAATCTATAGCTGCCCTGTTAAAAGTGAGTAAAGAATAATGTTTCTGGAATAGCCCTCTCTGTTCATGTTCTGTTTTGGGTTTTAAACACTATACCAAGTTCCCTTAAAAAAATTACCTACAGTTTGTATTTGCAAAGTTGGGCTGCATGGAGATCAAAAATAAGAAAATAGGTTTAAAATGGCAACTCACAATGTCAATAACCATTTTCCTCAAAGACTGCCTCTGCTTTTTTGTCAAATTCTGGAAAATGTCACAGTTCTCCTCCTGCAGTAACTTGAATCCCACAGCTAAATGATGGTTTTCCAGGACCGAGGAATCATTGTACATCAACGCGAGTTCAGAGTCTGCAAGACAGTTACAAGACAAAATGTGAAGGAAACCTATGGCCCTTCCCCTGCAAGTTATTTCCAACTCATTGCATTTGTCAGATATCCAGAAAGCAAAATCTATAGTTCCAGCTTTTAGAACAGCACAGTGCAAATAAAGGACAGAGTCTCCTGAGGCACGACAGCTGATATGTGTCAAATGGCAAAACAAAACAGTATTGGGTTATGCTGCATGGAACCATTTCCCAATAAACCTTCCTTCGACGACAAATGCCTGCTCCTCTCTCCAGAAAAAAAGGCTTCCAAGAGCAAGAAGAACAAAAATTAGCAAATTAAAGCTAATCAGTGTCAAACGATTTGCAGACAAGGCTGTCTCTGCATACTGCACGTAAATCTGCAAAACGCATCACAAAACCTTTCCCAAGCATACTTTCTTGTGAGTACATCATGTCAGATGGGGGCAAAGGTTTCCCTCTCTCTACTTCTGTTATTGATACAGTAAAGTGACACAGCCAGGAACAGGGAGCTTTGAGGGGCTAGCACAGCACTGTAACTAATTCTTTGTTAACCTACACTAGCAGTTCCTTTCCTAGAGTGTCTCCCTTCCACTGGCTTGTGAGTTTTTTCCTCCCACACAGTTACTCCAACTGACTGCCCACTGTAGACTGGACATTTAAGACAAGAGGGTACTCATGCATCCTTAAGAACATAAGAACATAAGAGACGCCAATGTTGGATCAGGCCAAAGGCCCATCCAGTCCAACACTCTGTGTCACACAGTGGCCAGAAATACCAGTGCCATCAGGAGGTCCAGCAGTGGGGCCAGGACATTAGAAGCCCTCCCACTGTTGACCCCCCCCCCCAAGCACCAAGAAGACAGAGCATCACTTGCCCCAGAGCCCCTAGCTATACCTTGTGGCTAATAGCCACTGATGGACCTCTGCTCCATATGCTTATCTAATTCCCTTTTGAAGCCATCCATGCTTATAGCACCCACCACTTCCTGTGGCAGTGAATTCCATGTGTTAATCACTCTTTGGGTGAAGAAGTACTTCCTTTTATCCGTTCTAACCCGACCGCTCTGCAGTTTCATGGAGTGCCCACGAGTTCTTGTATTGTGAGAAAGGGAGAAAAGTACCTCTTTCTTTACCTGCTCTTTCCCATGCATAATCTTATAAACCTCGATCATGTCACCCCTCAGTCGTCTTTTCTCCAGGCTAAAGAGCCCTAAGCGCTTTAACCTTTCCTCATAGGGAAAGTGTTCCAACCCTTTTATCATTCGAGTTGCCCTTTTCTGCACTTTTTCCAAAGCTATAATATCCTTTTTAAGGTGTGGTGCCCAGAACTGGGGGCTATCCTTCTGAGAGGGTCTTTTCTTAAAGAGCTTGTCCCAAAGAATGTACCTAGTTCACCACTGCCCAGTAAGTACTACAGAGAGAAGTTCTTTGCTACACACGTGAAATCTCTATAAAGGGAAGTGCATGTTCCAATCAGTCTATATATGACCAAGAAATCTGTACATCATCTTGGAATAGCTTGGGTAGGGAACCCAAGACAGCTGCCTAATGAGGCCATCAGCTGCATGTAGGAAAACACACAACTAGGTTTCCTTCTTCCAAATCATCCTGGATGCCTTTGGATGTACGACATGCAAAGTGTCTTTTTTTATGAGAAATGAAACGGTTTACATGTAATGGTACTCGTCACTTGCTGACACTAATTTCTGTTTATTACAGTTCCCATATCCTAGAGCTAGCTGTTCCTCATGCTTCTCTACTGGCTGTTCTTGTGTTATATCTTATTTCTTTTAGTTCACCCATAAAAATCCCATATCCCAGAGCTAGCTGTTCCGCACTCTGCTCTACTGCCTGTTCTTATGTTGTATCTTATTTCTTTTAGTTCACCAATAAAAACCCCTGTAGCTCAAAAAGATCTGCAGGCAGAAGCTCTTGTGTTTAAATTTCAGAAACCTTATTGTGTATTCTCCTGTGTCTCGCTCTCCTGTACCAAACACGTGAGCCAGAAATTCCTGTCTCTTGCTCTTTCACTCCATATGGCATAGGGGAGACGCAGCCCAGGGAGGAGAAAGACTGTGTTTACCAAAAACATCATAATAGCATTGGATAGGATTGGGCATCCTACAAACAAAAAAATCACCTTTTTCTTTTTTAAAAAAAGAAGCCTCCCACAATGAATGACTAATTCACAAAAAGCTTTAAGACTTCTGTACTTTTTAGAATTATTCTAGATGATGGGAACATGAGAGTTTTTTCTGCTTCTAATCATTATCCAGTTGTCGTGATGTGGCAAGCTGCCTATCACACTTAGAGAAGAACATGTAAGATAAGTTTTATACCAATTAAGTGAACTGTGCATACTGTTTTATAAAAAGAGGCTTCCCGAGGCTGGTAATAGCTCCTTTGCAACACATACACATGGAGGGAGGGAGGGAGAGTCCATGTAGATTACTGGAAAACTGAGTTAGCTAGAACTTCTCTGCTGGTTGTCAAACATTTTGAGATCAAACTCCCCCCCCCATGTGCTTTCACTTCAAAAAGGATGTGGATAGAATGGAGGGGTGCAGAGGAGAAAAACGAGGATGAACAGGGGCCTGGAGGCCAAGTCCTATGAGGAAAGGCTGGGGGACTTGGGAATGTTTAGTCTGGAGAGGGGGGGCATGATTGCTCTCTTTAAGTATTTGAAGGGCTGTCATTTAGAAGAGGGCAGGGATCTGTTCCTGTTGGCAGCAGAAGATAGGACTCGCAATCATGGGTTTAAGGTAAGGGCGGGAAGGTACCGGCTGAATATTAGGAAAAACCATTTTTACAGTAAGAGTTCTGCAACAGCGGAATCAGCTGCCTAGGGTCCCCCTCACTGGCAGTCTTTAAGCAGCAGCTGGACACTTGTCAGGGGTACTATAGGTTGATCCTACACTGAGCAGGAGGTTGGACTAGATGGCCTGAATGGCGCCTTCCAACTCCCTGATTCTATATACCCACCCAGCTGAGCACCAGCCATCTGCTCCATGAGTGAGTCCAATGGAGATCACTGGAAGCAGCTGCATGCAAAGACCAGCAGGTATGGATGAAAGAATTTTAAGGGGTTGTTTTTAGCAGGAACAACTTCCAATTCTCCAGCCATATCCCCCCAGCTCTAGACCCACTCATCACCATTTGGAGCATGAAAGGGAGTCAAAGAAGGAAGCTGGACATTGAGGTCAAGTGAAAGGTGGGCTCTGCCCACAATCACAATCCGATCACTCCACCCACCCCTGGAAGGTGCCTTGGGACCTGCGTTTTGAGAGTCTGGTCTTTAGGCCAAGCAACTTCAAGATTTAACTGTTAACATCTGTATATTGTAAAACAAGCTCCAGTTTTACAATGGAAAACTGCAAGGAACTGTTTTGGACTGTCCAAATCTGATATTTACTTTTGTTCAAGTAAATCTGATATTTACTTTTGTTCAAGTAAATCTGATATTTACTTTTGTTCAAGTAAATCTGATATTTACTTTTGATCAAGTAAATGTTTCTAAAAAGTAACCTGAGCGATGCCAAGATCCTCACCATCCCATACTGATATGCCCATCACCCTAAGGTGAAGGACCAGATGTTTGTCCCCCCCCCTATTTTTCTCTCTTTTTAAAAATCGTACTTCGCTGCTGGACTTTATGTTCTTTTCCCCTGCTCTTCCTATTTCTGTTTTTTGAAAGAAAGAATTTTCAAAAAAAATTTTTAAGTCTGACAAGTCAGCAAGACTTAGGGGTCATGCTTCAGGATGCACAACTCCCACTTTTACCACTATGACAAGAGAGATGCAATTCTCACCCTTATTTGCTCTCATTTCTGTCAGTCCAATTCTACCCAGTGGGCTTCAGCCATTCAGCTGTACAAACAGTGACCATCAGCTTCTAGTGCAGCATTACCCATTTGCTGCACACCATCCTGACAACATCCCTACAGGCTGTTCAAACCTCAGGGGAAAGCAGGACTCATTCAGCTTCCATCACCGTGCATCCCTCAGCCCTCTAACAGCTATTTAGGGGGGAAACCACAATTACGTTGGCAATCATGGGTTCCCAAACATGTCTGTGCCAAGGCAGAATGAATATAGAGATGAGTGTGTGAGTGGCATTTGCTGCGGACAATCAAAGTGAGGGTTTGTGTGTGCGCGCGCGTGCATTTCTACCTCCACCTCCATGGTTCTCCCTCACTGGGAGAGAGGTAGAAACAGGTAAAAACAACCTGCCAGGCAGAAGCAGCAGGTGGGGAAAGGGTTAAGTAACCCTCCGCCTGCCAGGTCTCCCCTGCCAATCACTGTTGTCCTTACATTATCCTTACAAGGCAAACACAAGTTTGGGAACTGCATGTTTGCTTGTGTAGCCACAGAATGCTTTTCAGCTCTAGCCAGATGTGTTTTTGCATGGAAACCAAATTAACCAACAACCTGCATTAAGGTTTATAATAAAATTTGAGAAACAGCTGCAGCCATCTGCTATTCTCAGCCAGACAAGATTCGAACTAGTAACTGAAAATATCAAGGGTTTGTATATAACAGTTGCTTTGAATTCATCAACATACAAGATGATTAAAAAACAAACAGTACTCCAGATGAGAACAAAGAGGATTTCCAAGATTCATAAGTCCAAAGTTAACTAAATTGTCCTGGCATTTTGTACATTATGTGCTGTCACGCTTCTATCATAAAGCGATGATAACTGTGAAGTGTTACAAGGAAGAGGCTGGTTACATCACCCTCATTTTCAGCAGTTTAACATATTTCATGACATTCTGTGTTCAGCTTTTGTCCCTGTGGGGCCTGCAGGGGTGCCTTTGGTATCACAACACAGCTTGGAAAACTCTGACATTCCCACCCCTCCTCCTTCCAGATGAATCATCAAATTACATTTCACTAGAAGGTTGCCCAAGGGCTATTAAAGTGCACAAAAATAGATTCAGATAAGGGTCAGGCTGAGATGAATCAAACAACATGGAGGGGGGAAAAACCCAGCCTCAAATCTGGAATTTCTTCTTTAAGCGAGGCTGTTGTGCTGAGATCTGGCACTGTACTGCAGTTCTGAAGGAGCAATGAGTGTTCACATTCACCAGAAGTGGTGAATATACACAGCCTAGTCCTTACTATGATGGACAGCCTGGAAATGGGGTATACCATTTAGACGGCAAATAGAGGCTCCCATGATATGCATGGCAGACACTAAAATATATATTGGGGGCTGAGTAGAACGCATTGTAGGTGAACAGTGTACCATGGTGGTCATCTTGCTTACACCCTTCTCTTCCTACCCTTCTTTCCCCCCTTTAATCTCTTATTTGGTTTTTCACCAAATCAATTTTGTTTCAGGAGAGCGGCCAAATTCCACAAATGGTGGCATTATTTGACTCAAAATCTTGTGGAGTTCTTTGAAATAGAAACAGAGTCCACAGTGTGTTACCTGGAGCAGTGTTTCCCCAACTGAAGTCTGGGGACCTCTGGAGATCTATGTGTCCGTTTATAAGGACTATGGTGAGCTTTACTCACATCCATCTGGCTAATGCGAAAACAGAGATATCAGGTTTCTGGGAATAGTAGTTAGGGGAGTCAGGGGCAGAACTGGCTTCCACCTCTTTCGAAGGGCATTTTAATTGTTTTGTATGTACTTTACCCGTTTATAACTCTTTGTAAAACTGTTTTAATGAGGTTTGTTTGGGAAGGGGTTTATGTTAATGGTTCTATAATGTAATTTTGATTTATCTTGGCAAACTGATGGTTAATACCAACAAGTTGCTCAAGAATCAGCTTGGTGGCTTCTGCTATGAGTTCTATAACTTTCACTTCCCTTCTTCTCAGAGTTGTTTTCGCTGACTTTTTTGGAGTGTCCACCATTTTTACACTTTAATTCCAATATAAAATTGTTTTCTCCCCGGCTCTGAAAATCACTTACATGCTGTTTAGTCGCTTAAATACTCATGGATATCTCCCACAGCTTTTCGCTTCCAAGTATCCGTTTACAATTGTCTCTTTCTCTCTCTCCCTCCTCCCTCCTCTGCTTATGCAAATGTGTCCGAGAAGCATCTCTCTCAGCAGGATTCCAATCGCTCAAAAGGTTACGGGGGGGGGGATTTACGCTTCTATTTACGGTTCGCTTATTTTAACTCACAGTTCATTGTTTCTTAACCACGCTCGTAATCGCTCCTTTGCCAGATCTCCTGCGCTTGACTGGGTTGGCACATCTTGTGCCTCGCTAAGAGGACGCAGACAGCGGGGAGGACCGTCAGGGCGGAGGGCAGCCTAAATTCCCCTGCAGATAGCAGGAAAAGAGGCTCACCCTCAAAAGTCCTATGGCCTGGGGGGCCTCCCTGACCCCCCTGTGTGTATGTTTATTGTGTATGTTTTAAAATGCTAGCTGCTTTGGCGCCCCTTTTAAGGGCAGAAAGGCAGGATATAAATTTTGTAAATAAATAATAAATAAAATTATGAGGAAAGGACAGAGAGGAAAACAGGATACTGAAACACAGGAAAAGACTTCTCTGCAAGGCTCCTGTACCCACAGTGTGGCCTACTGCTCATAATGTGTGTGTAGGTGTGAGAATTTAAAGACCTGGAGCAACTGGAGCTCAACAGGAAACTCATTCCTTCCACTTCCTTGTGTCTCCTTTTTCTAAGGGCATGGGACTGGAGTAAGAAATACATGTCTGTTTCCTTTGTGCAAAACACCAATTAAAAAGGTTGTCAAGTGCAGTGTTCCCTCTAAGCTGAGTTAGTGTGAGCTAGCTCACAATTTTTTCACATCCAGCTCACACATTTTTGTCTTAGCTCAGGAAGGAGGGCTCCAGAGCCAACTGATTTATGCAGTAGCTGAATCGCTCGCTCACAACTTTAATGCCAGTCGCTCACAAAGTGAAATTTTTGCTCACAAGACTCCACAGCTTAGAGGGAACATTGGAGTGTTACCAAAAATAAATCACACTTACTTGTGTTGATAAGAAATTGGTTTGAAACCCCAGGGTGATCAACATCATGTATTGCACTGGCAAAAATGGCAGCCAGAATCTCTAGGTCTGTGAAAACCGCCTGGGGGAGGAAGAATGAATGACATTACTAAAAAGAGAAAACATTTTTAGTTAGAAGTGCACTTATCTCCCCCCTTTGAGTTCTGATCTGGTAGAAGCCCCAAAACACATTACAGAGTCTGTCTACAGTCACCCAATTTTACAAGAACAATTTAAACCTAAGCTTATAAAATGTTTTGGATAGCTACTTGCCAGATATTTGGAATTTTTTTCATAATTTCTGTCTATCAAATCCACTAATTTCATTTTAAAATGTCCAAAATTACTGAGAAGCCAGCATGGTGCATGGTTTGAAACCACAGTGCTGAAATTTAAGTCTCAAAATGAATATGTCTCCCCACCTACAAATTAGCTGTTTTGAAAATTTTGGTCTAACTGGAGCCAAATTCTAAACACTGGAATTAGAAAGGTATGCCTGCAGTACAGGAAAATGTCACACTGCTCTGGAACACCGGCAATTCACCTAATCCAAAGCATTTATTTCCTGGCACAGCTGCTCTTCTGTTTGTTCTTTAAACCTAAATGATAAATGTATTTGTAATGCACATTGCAATGCTACACGGCATCAACTGAGTTTTTACTAAGCAGCAGCTGCTCCTCCTAAGTGAAGAAGACAAGTCCCACTTAATTTAACTTCTTCTAAAGGTACAGTCAGGTACTTATCTGTGCAGTCCAATACTGAGTTACTCAAGCTTAACCCCTTCAGTGCAAATAAAAGTACACTGGAATAACTTGGCACAGAATCATACTGTGAATTCCATCAACATGAATTCTCTCTCAGCTATTGTTCTTATTTACTGCTTGCCCAGATGCCACCCAGTTTAAAATGGAGGCATGTGATTTTGCTTCTGTTCATGGATCAACCATATTTAAAACAAAGTTCACGTCACTGAATCCAAGAACAAACCAGTGCAGAACCCTTACTTGAATATTTGATGGTTGACAAAAAACCTGACTATCAGATGCATACTTTGCAGGCAAGCAAGCAAATACAGAAGAATTTATAGAGAAGAATTTATGGATAGAATTTTTTTTTGCTGTATTACACTTTAAAAAAAGAAGATACATCCTGCAAACAGCCAGTATACTATAGAGAATGGTGCTGAAGGTAACAGGTTTGCTGAAACACATGTACAATATCACAGGAACATTTTAGAATAGTATAAAGCAAGCACAAATGCTTAAGTCCTTGGAAGTGCAAAATGTCATGCTTGTCTGTTATAAGTCTGTGTCTCTGTTTCCCTTACTCTGTTCTGGATTTACCTCCAAAGCTGGGGTTGACAACAGTACGTGTGTGGACTGCACAACATCTGCAGCATGTATGTTGTTATGATACGCCACATCTGCATGGTAATGATCCTCCAATGTCATCAAGTATGTTATTAACATGTCTGGTGGAATTTTGAATGTTTTTAACAATTCCCGTTCCTGCAGTTAAACAAGGAAAGAAAGCTGCTGTTACAATACATGGAAGGGCTGAAAGAAAAGGCAAAATGGAAAGCTGCCTGATGTTGAACTTACCTGAAAAATGGTGTACATGATGACTGTCAACGGTCGGTTCCCAGATATTTCGGCTACTTTGAACACCTGGAGGCCCCATTTGTTTACATCTTCTAGTTCCTAATAGGGAATCAAACATCAGAGCATGGAATCTAGAACTTGATCTTCCATTGGTGATTGCATGAAAACAGCAACACTGGATCACTGCTACTACAAACCAAATGTTTAACTTCTCAGAAACAATTTTCTAGATTTTAAAAAGGGAGGCAGTCTCTTGCATGGGAGCAGAACTGCTCAGTGTATTTTGCATGAATTGGATGAAGTTATCGTTATCATCAATAATAACAGAGATAAATGAGAACCTTCAGAGAGTCTGCAATCTTTTCACTTTTTATGTTTGTTCCCAGCAATGAGGGAAAATCAAAGGAGAGAAAACTCTAACCAAGTTTTTCTTTTGGTGAATGAAGATATAATCTAAGCTGTTGAAATTCATCTGCTGCAGAACACAGCCACACACTGCCTGAGTGCACACCCTTTTAATTTTATTTCTCCACTGACGTGGCTCCATAGTTCTAAGGTTCACAGCCAGTTAGTCATTAGCACTGCTCTTACCTTGGATAAACTCTCTTCTTGGTCAGTTTTGACTCCAAATTTGGGGATGCTGGAATTGGTTAAACTGGAGCTGTGCGTGAGTTTTTTCACTCCACTGATCTGAGACATAGGCCGTTTCTTCTTTTCTTTCTCTTTCTGTGTTGGGGATGGGATTTCCACTTCATGCTGTTTGTCTTTAAAAGGGGGGGAAAGAAAATCTGTGTGTATACTAGAACTGTCTTGCAAAACGAAACAAAATAAATCCGGCACCAAATCTAACCACAGACTTTTCAGTTTCATAAAATGTATCCATATAAAAAGTATTGACTAAAGGGGGAAAAACCCCAACCGACAACCAAAAAACAACATACTGCATAAAATACGAGAATATAAAGCTGGCTTGTATCAAAATCAGACCACTGTTTCGGCTAGATGGATATTGTCCTACTCTGACTGGCAGCTGCTCTCCATGGTCTCAGGGGTCTTTCCCAATACCTACTATCAGAGATCCTTTTAACCGGAGATGGTACGGACTGACACTTGGCTTCATCTTTAATCAAAGTCCTACCGGGAAAACAGTGCTCCAATCCAAGTGCAGATTCACTATGGCCTTAAACAAATCTTTCTCATTCTTATGCAAAACAAGACGAGAGCTCTACTCAGGCTAGCAAGATGTGTTTTTCATGTTTCGAAGAGACCGTGTTGGATTAACCAGGGGTTTGCTTGGCTATGACTCTCCTCCCATGCCAGAAGTTCAGATGACCTTACTTTTTCTACACTCTTCCCCTCGTCATCTGCGGAATCTCATGTTTAGTTTAATGAAGGACCACTAGGACACCATGATACAGAACTAGTGTTTAGATATAGTGAAAGAAACCAAAGGGCGGCTAAAAGGAAATACATGAATCTAAGGCCCACTCCTGGTCTCACCATAAAGAGAAGTGACAGGGCAAAGTAATGTCTGAACAGGATCCTGGCAGGGGAAGCTGCCTTGGGATCTTTATAGCATTAACCTGTGGCTGAAAATCTGGCACATGATATGACCAGGTTTTTACCTATTAATATTGCATAGACATTAAATGATGGGAAAAACAATTCACCTCAGGCTTTCAAGTTTGGCACTGTAGATGCAGTGATGCATGTTTATATGTGTCCTTCAAAGATGCAAAAGCAAGTGGTTTTAGGGGATAACCCCCCAAAAAACCCCATGGTTGCCTTAAACCCCTCCCCCCCATACAAGCAAAATCAAAACCAGGAATTATGGTGTGAGCCTACAATATCTGAGAAAACTAAACATTAATATGTTCCCATTAATGGCCCTCTTTAGTGAAAAAGAATGGAACCGTAACTAGACCATAGCTTTATTTTGCTTCTTCTGTTTCCTGGGTTTTTTAAAAAAGCCTTTAGAAGGGGCTAGTACTTACTGGAAACAGCAGTGAATTCTGATCAGATCACTGCAAACAAGAGAAAATGTCACCAAGCATCAGCCTGAGGCATTCAGCCCCCTTCCTACTCCCTTCCCTCTGTTCACCAATTAAATACAACTAGGAGAAAGGAAGAGCACTTGACTCGCAGCAAACCAGTAGAAGCAGAAGAATAAGGACTCATGTGTATGCCTTGATGTTTATGGCTTCAGTCATATGCACAAAGTTTAGGACCATCAAAGGGGAAGATTATAAACCAAGTTGTCAGATGAACTCAAGTGAAAGGAAGTGTCTGTCCAGAAGATTTTAGATATGCTAGGGAATTCCATGGGATTCCCTAAGGTTCTGTTCCAAGTGAACAGTTAACATTATCAATGCTGAGTGCATTACTGCAAGCTGAAAATTACCCTCCCCCCTTAAACAAATATTAGTGTTTTAGTGAGGATTATACATCTCTTTCCTGGATCCTATGGAATCCCTTTCCTAGAGAAAACAGACTACTCTACTGAAAATCAGGAAATGAATGAAAGATGACCTAGAACTGCTGGCTTCCTCTGGTGAGGAAATAACCAGCAACTCTTTAGGGATGTATTAATAAACCGAGAAAGAGAGGCAACGTTCATGAGGCTACATGAGGTACATGGAATTTTTTTTATCAGACAATGGGAAAAGCCAGGACATGAGTACCTGAAGGATGCCTACTTCCAAATATACCTGCCCATAATGAGGTCTTCTTTCATGGCCTTGCTGCCTTTCATATGGGTGGCTACAAGTGGCTGGGCCTTCTTGGTTGTTAATACCCTGGTTTTTAAATGTCCTGCCAGTGAGTATCTACTTCCTATGAGCTTGTCAAATGTTTGCCATCAGGTAAATGCAATGCATACTTTTTTGCCAAGGTCTTCTGACATTTATACTGACACAATTTTGCTTGCTCATTTTGCCGTTGTTTTGGCTTTTTATTCTCACCTGCCTTTTTTGCTGCAGTGCTAATAGGTTTTTAATATGTTGTTTCCCCTGCTGCATCATAAGCCAGTCTTATTTATTGTAGTACTGGTGTCTGAATTACTTTTTTGAAACAGATATTTGTTTTATGGATATTTTATTTACGGTGTTAGCTGCCTCAGTAATTAAGTTGAGTGAGTGCAGGAAACAAATGCCTTTAAGCTGCTCTTCAATTTGCAATCCCCCCCCCCCCCAAAGTCTTGCATGGCCATTTGATTACTTGACACCAGCTTGAAGGACATATTATAGGACAAGAACCCAATGTGTTTTCTTCTCCCCCCCCCCCAAATATGGAAACACTGATAGAGAAGGCTCAGTTTCTTCAGTGAGTGGGAAGGAGAAGATTCTTCTAAGTAGGTCATCTCCGCAGGCGATTCTATTCCAGCTTTTTTCAAAGTTTCTTAAACTAGGGTGATAACTTTCCTGACAGGATTAATAAAATTCAGGTTTCCAATGGATGAGCAAGTAAACAGAGGATTGGGATTTTGAGAGATTAATTTCGGCTGGATATATAAGTAGGAAAAGAAATTTTGCTTTATGAGACTGGAATCAATAGAGCACACTGTGTTCTAGCAAGTTTTTATACAGAAAAGCCTGGGATCCGACTATATTTAATAGCTAATTTACTCTGAATTAGCTGAAAAATTGCTAACAGTCTGATTCTGTGAACAGCAGGTCATAACACTGGAGCACTGTGTCCATACTGGCTCTAGAGCACAGCTTGTATAACTGCAAAGGCTTTGCCCAGCACAAAATGGTCCTGCATTTCTGTTTGTTCTTGCCTGGTATAATGATGTCACAATAGTGTGTGAGGCAGCTCCACTGGATGCAAAGCACCCAATTCAATTCTCAGGTTCCAAGTCATCAAGTTATTCTTTAAGCAAATACTACTTGAGCATGAGTACATCTGTGTGATACAAGCCGTGTTGCATATGGTGGATGGCTGTTCTGTCTTTGCCAAGTACCGAATGCTGAATTAATTACCGTGGCATAAATCAGTATTGCCCTACATATTATGATAGTATGATATATACTAGTCTATGCTTCTTTATCGATCCACCCACCCACATAATACTCCATAGGACAGTTCCGAGATTACATTTACATTTGTCAACACCGTCATCAGCTTTTTCTAAGTCCCTCCTTATAATATGTTCTTGGGGGTGAAAGTATTTTCCAGACAGCAACCTATTCAGTTCATTGTGTTTATCAGTCTTTGTGTCAGCACCAAATGATAATGGGCCACCATGGCGTGCCAGAAGATGTAGGCTCCAATCCAAAGAAGCTACATGTTGGCTTAGAGCAGAATATTGTACTCAGCCAAAGATCTGATTGAGGCTGTCACATCCCTCCATTTTGTTTGAAGATGTGTGCGTTGCACACGAAAGCTTACACTTTGAATAAAACTTTGTGGGTCTTAAAGTTGCGACTGAACTCAAACTTAGTTCTGCTGCTCCAGATCAACACGGCTACCCATCTGAACAGTCCTCCACTGCAAGGGATGAGTCCCTCTAAAAACTGAACAGCAGCTTGTCCATATGGCAGAAGGAACTGCAGAAAATGTGTACATCAATCAAAGCTACCAAGTTCCAGATGCAGGTGTGGTTCTACCATCTGGATTGTCACTTTGATGATCTTAACAGCATACCTATACTAACCTAGGATCTACTAAGTGACCAACTCTATATTTCTTTCATTTATTCAGAAGACCTTTTAACCTGCCTTTCTCCTGCTAAAGACTCAAGGTGGGTTACAGTTATCAGACTGGGCACTGAGAGCAACAATAAGCTAAGGAAACAGGTTATCAATCGCAATAGTTCATTCCTCTGAATACCAGTGCTAGGAGGCAACATCAGGGGAAAATCTTGACTTCTATGCACTGTTTGTTTGCCCGCTGAGGCAATTCATTGGCTGCTGTGTGAGGCAATTCATTGGCTGCTGGGCTACAGGGACCACTGGTCTGCTCCAGCAGGACTCTTCATATGCTCTTCTGTTATATTATTCTCCCTGGTTGTCCCCCCCCCCCATGTCTCTGAGAGGTTAGACTGAGTGCATGGCAGGCCCAAGGTCGCTTAGGGAACTTCATGGCCGAGAAGGGTATCACTCCTAGTCCAGCACTCTAACCACTACGGTATACTGACATGTATTAAAGACTAAAATACATTTGGCCCTCCAGAAGAAACAAATGTCTATGTGAACCAGGATGGTGTGTTGATTATGGAACTGTCCCATACGCTTGTGCATAACCACACAACATGTTCATGCAGTAAAAAGCAGAAGGTGGTAGGTGGTCTGTCCCTTGGAACACAAATGGGCCACATTCAATGTAAAGGAAAAATCCATGTTGTAAAACAAAAGGCAAGCAGTACGTTTAAATCAACCATGGTTTATATGAATATGCACATAACATTATTATACAGCACAGAAAGATATGCACGGCTAGAACCTTTCCATCTGGATGTTGATGGTGGGTGCTGGAAGAGAAAACACAAGAAAAAAGCACAAGCAGTACCAGTTTTCAAAGCCATCTGCTTACCCAAAAATGTGTTGGATATATATTCAGAGACCTGATTGCCCGATCGGCTCATTTCAGATAAGTGGGTTAGCTCCCGATTGAGCATTCTTTTAAACTGCAAAGGGGGGAAAAATAGGACATGTCAGTGACCAAGAAACATGTACTTGGGCATTAGAAAGTTCAAGATTCCTTTTATAGAGATTTCATTCTGAAAATTGTTTTGCCTCAATAGAATAATAAAAGAGTCCCATTTCCAGGGGGAGAAAAATCTCAAAAATAGGCCCCGAGTACATATCAATTCAACTACTCTGGTTCTTCAGATGCATAATGCAGGGGGGAAACTGACTCTTATTTAAGTCACAATACAGATACCACATCCCACCTTTGTTTCTTTTTTCCAAATGATGTATAAATTCATTGCAGCACGCTGTCATCAAATCTGAAAATGTTCAGCTCTCTTGAACAATTTTCAGCATCCGTGTAGGCAGGATTAAAGAAAGGTCAAAAGCATTTCCCCACTCTCTGAAAGTACATCTGTATCTCTAATCATGGGGTGGGGGTGGCGGTACCCAATTTACTAAAATTTGATCCAACTGTCATGGGAGCCTGAGTGCTATAATTTTGTTTACGGATAGACCTTTTAAAATGCACCTGGAGAACAGCAACAACACATTTTTAATAGTACTGTGAAAATCAGAGATGAAGTAGGCCTCTCTAATAGTCAAATGGGTTGGATCCAAACCAAATTGGCCATTTTTGTCTATTCCCCCTTCCCATGGCAGACCCCCCTCATGTCATTCCTATGGGTCCCCTACCCCCCCCTTTCCCTGGAGCAGCATTTCTTGGAGATGAGTGGGCTGCAGTGGGAGGGGTAAAGCTGGAAAGTTCCATTCTACTACTGGATCTGACCCTGTGTTTCCAATTAATATGGGTATGCTGTTGCACCTACTTAACTTGTACCGAATATTTATTACCCTATGTGCCCCTTTTGTGGCAGAACACCAGATTTCTTGCACAGGGGAGAATTTTCATGAGAGCATGCATTTATTTGAAAATAATCATCTTTTGGGAGCGAGATTTACACGGTGGCATATGTGGCAACAATGGCCCTTATTGCAGGTGGGGGGGGGGACCTCTTTGCTATCATTCCTAGTTAATGCAAACACAGCACTTGCATTGAAAGCTGCAAGCTGCAAGAAACTCAGCATGGAGTGTTGCAAAGGTCCAGTAGCCATCCCACCCAAGGATGTCCCTTTTGCAGTCTCTCCTGGTCTGAGGCAGCTACACCAACGCTTCTGGTTTTACACCGGGAGGGGGAGGACCAGAGTTCCTTCTAAGCTGAGTCAGTGTTTTAGCCTCCAGCTCACACATTTTTGTCTTAGCTCAGGAAGGATGGCTCCAGAACAAACTAATTTATTGCAGTAGCCAAATTGCTCGCTCACAACTTTAATGCCAGTAGCTCACAAAGTAGAATTTTTGCTCACAAGACTCCACAGCTTAGAGCACCGGACAATACCTCGGGGGTGCTGGAATGATTCAGGTGGGCTGGAATGATCCAGGTGCAGATTCACAAACTGCACCTTTTTGTCCACTTTTTGAAGGTAGATGTCTAGGGGGGCACTGAGTAATTTTGTTTCTGAAAAGGGGGCGGTAGGCCAAATAAGTTTGGGAACCTCTGGCTTAGAGGGAGCATTGGTAAGGATAATCCCCAGCAACTCAGCAAAGGAACAGGGGGGACTGGAGTCCAATGCTGAGTTCTGCAGGGCATGTCGAAAGAGCGTAGAATTAGGCTCTCATTGAAAAGCATGTAGTACTGCAGTTTCTACATGGGCAAACATGCTTAACAGGTGGTAAAAGGGTATGTTTTAAAGTGACAGTTTACTAGAACAAGCCAGTCAGCCACCATGCTTCTCACAACTCGCTTGCCATCTTATTGTAAAGACCTCTCACATAACAGAAAACAGCATCTCTCTCCTGAGTATTTTCAAGCTCAAGGCTTAAAGCACCTCACGTGTCAATCAGATTCATGAAAGGAATGTAAAACGTGCATTGACCAGAGTGCTCCAATGGCATTCCAAATGCCCCTCCTGCACTCGCTCTTCCAGCCCAAGAGCAATTAGCAATATATAACATAGCATGAGAGAAACTCAAAGGAAGTCTAAGCCTCACTTGTAAAACAGTCTGATGAACATTGTGCATAGTTCACTCTGCTTCCTTCATACCTTGAGTCCGTTTCAGAAAGCAACAAACCTTTTAGCTGCTGCAGTTATTTTGTACGTATCACATTCACACAAATTTATGAGTGCTTAGATATACGTCTTGACTGAAGTGTGTCCCCAACATGGCAATCTCACTTGCACTGGGACAGTTTAGGGAAAGCAAGGAAAAAACAACCGTTCACCTCCCCAAGCCCCTGAACTGAAACAGCACATCTGTATGCCCCACTGTATGGGGAACAGTGACACCAACCCTGCAGTGAAACTGTGTGCTGACACTGCCCTGGGGAAGGGGGCAGAGGGAGGAGCTCATTGAGTTGGCTGAGGAATGAAGCACCACTCGGGTCCCTTATCTGACATACAAAGGAGCCAAAAACCTCTGCCCATGTGTGCTGCTTCAGGGTGAAGAAAGGCCTCCTTTCCCTTCAAACTGGTAAGCAGAGGAAAATATATTTATCTACTTGGCACATTTTTATCCTCTCCTTCCTCCAAGGAACTCATGGTGGCACAGATCATTCTCCTTGCCTCCATTTTATGTTCACAGCAACCCCATGAGGTAGGCTAGACTAACAGAGTGGCCAGCCCAAGGCCACCCGGTGAGCTTCATGGCAGAATGGGGATTTGAACCTGGGTCTTCAAGATCCTAGACCAACACTCTAACCACTATACCACACTGGCGCATCCTGCAAATTTAACAGGTTTCCCACATTTGCTTAATATGTTGCTTAACACGCGCCTCCCTGCCACACATAACACATAATAGAAGCTAATAACCTCCTTTTTAATTTTACCCAAAACCCACAGAGGTAAGTACCCTATGGTGTCCTTCTTTGGGGAAGTACTCAACACAACAAGACTCTTAATCCCCACGCTGGCCTTAGTTTAGGAGACATGGGATACATCCTTGTTTACTGATGTCAGGGCCTAGGAGACAACTGCTGCTGCTGCTGCAATGCTATTAGGTCAAAGACAGAGAAGAAACAGCTCTATGACCTCATGCTTGCCACTAAGTTACCAAGACCTGCTAGTCTCAAGCCTGTTAGAGGACTCTTGGTGGCCTACTCAGATGGCAAAAAGGGGGCAAGCACAGAAGGGCCTAGGTTATGGTTATCAGCCTCCAGGTGGGGCCTGGAGATCTCCTGGAATCACGTGTTCTACAGAAATCAGCTTACCTGGAGAACATGGCTGCTTTGGAAGGCAGGCTCTCTGGCATGACATCTTCCTGAGGTCTCTCCCCAGGCTCCACCCCAAATCTCCAGAAATTCTCCAACTCAGAATTGGCAACCCTAACTAGCATACAAACAGTGAAATCACATCACTGAATTGAGCTCTATTGGCAAGATCAGGTTTGCTGTTGCTCCCTCAGTCTTTCTCCATTCCTACTAGCCTAATTTAATATGTACTGAACAATCTAGAGAAGGAAAAACAAGGAGAAGGAGTATGTGCTATATGCTTGGCTTCAATGAAGTACAGTATGCGAAGGTAAGGTGAGGAAATTCTCTGCCTCATCTTGAAAGAGGATAGAAGCTGTAGCCTGGACAACTTATTTATTGAGCCAATACCCCCCTAGGCCTCAATGAGGGATAGGGTTGCCAGCTCCGGGTTGGGAAATACCTGGAGATTTAGGACTTCAGTGGGGTATAATGAAGAAGAAGAAGAGATTTGGATTTATACCCTGCCCTTCACTACCCAAAGGAGTCTCAGAGCAGCTTACAAACTCCTTTCCCTTCCTCTCCCCACAACAGACACCCTGTGAGGTAGGTGGGCTGAGAGAGCTCTTGACAGAAACTGCTCGTGAGAGAACAGCTCTGAAAGAATTGTAAGTTGTAACTGACCCAAGGTCACACCAGCAGCTGCATGTGAAGGAGGGGAATCAAAAATGGTTCTCCCAGATTAGAGTCCACACTCCTAACCACTACACCAAAATGCCACGGAGTCCACCTTCCAAAGCGATCATTTTTTCCAAGTGAACTGATCTCTGTCACCTCAAGATCAGTGGTAAATACACGACAATGGCAAAACTACATAAATAAAAGACTGCTGAAAGACGTTCAGCAGAAATGGCAAGCCTACTATTCATATTATGGGAGTAGTTTAATTTTTTGAAAAATTGATCTGAATATTACATTAAGAGAGCTGGTCCATGGGGTCGCGAAGAGTCGGACTTGACTGTGCAACTGAACAACAAATTACATTAAGAGTGAGGATATTGATTACAGCTTACATCTCTTTATTTAATACTTCATTAAGTATTTAAGATATTTAGTAAAAATAAGAATTTATATTGTGATAAATGACCAGGATAATATCCAAGTTTTAAGGATGGTTTAAACCTGGTGTAGAAATTTGTTTAATTGTTAAAGATGTAATCTCATTTATTTTAGACTATCGCTGAATATTTGGAAATATTTTGATTCTTATTTCAAAGAGAGAACTTATTCCTGAATACTGTAATAATGATGTTTTATTTGCTGCTTCTGTATTTGAACAATGTATTTTATTAATACAATTTATTCTACTAGTTGTATACAACTATTCATGATATTTGATAACTTTTGATGAATTTACCACTTTCCCTTACCCTTTTCCCCTTTTGTATCCCACTATTTTTTAAAAATAAAAATGTCACAATTTTTTTAGTTGTAATAGCAGGAAATTTCCAACCACCACCAGGAGATTGGAAATTAGGGCTGACAACCTCCAGATGCTACCTGGAGCTCTCCCGCTAGTACAATGGATCTCCAGACGATCAAGTTCAGCCCCATCTCCAAAATATCCTCCAAACCTCCCAACACAGACCTGGCAGCAACCCTACTGGTAAGCCTAGTGAGGGAGCAGTATAAATACACAGGATAATTTATGCCCCTTTATCAAGGAAGACACCAATGTTTATAATTCC